ACCCGGATCTTTAGTATAATAGAAACCAAAGCTGTAGGAACGGGAAGTACAGACTCCCTAAGTAGGTCGCTAGGAATGATGGTGAGAGGACCACTTCCTACTTTATTTCCTACATCTGTGTGTTTATTCTACCCACCAAGCACAGAAGCACCAGATAATGACTTGATGCATGCACTTCATTCTGAAGACCAATGTCCAAATTATCATGAATCATTCCCAGCTGGCATCTTAACTAAGCTCTCTGGCATCTTGAGTAAGCTCTTATGAGGTCATTCCAGAATTTTACCAAGCCAACAGCTTCCAGATGATGTGGTGTGTGGTAGGATCAATAGATTCTGTAGTTCTATGACTACTGCTTCTACTTCTTCACCATAAAGTTCCTCCTTGGGTTTGAGGTGATGTTATTTAAATTACTGTGTTGGTAAACCAGATACTCTGTGAGTCTTGGATAAAGATGCTGTCAGAGGCAGGATGGGCTGGGGGAGGTAAACCCACACCCAGCAAATATAGACATCCTGGGAAGCATGAGTTTGTCTGCTTCCAAGTGGAAGGGTCCAATATAACCATCTTTCCACCAAGGGATGAGTTGACTCCTGGAGGGATGGTACAGAGTGGAGAGCCAAGCATCCATCTCTCTCATTAACAGGTCATTCATTTAGATGCAGCAGTAACTAGATCAGCCTGGGTAAGAAAGACCCCATACTGTTGCCTCTACGCCTGTCATGTCTACAATCAAATTATAGACCTGGCAGATGTGAGTCTCTCTCCAGTTGCAGAAGATGTGAGCTTCTTTATGTTCTCATACAGAGAACTCTTTCCCTTCTCATTGTTCACTGACATGAACCTGTTATTTTCTGTCTTCGGAGTTATTATCATAGCTAACAACAGACAACCAATTCCTCTATCTTTCTAGTTACTTTACCCCCAAAATCTTCAAAGTTCAGAGCTATTACAGAAGCCAGGTCACCCCTTTCCTTCCATACTCCCTCCCAATCCCCCAGGCAAGACTTAGTAATTGTAATGCTCCAATGTAACAGGGATTTTCATCATCTCATTTACCACCAACAAAGGCTCCTTCTTACCTTCTGGCCAGTGATCTACCCAAATCCAAATCCCATTTGTGGACTGTTTTCTAGATTACTTTCAGTTCACCCCACTGTCTTTGGTTTGCATCTCCAGACACAGATCCTGAGATAAAGATTTGTGTGTAAATATTTTATTTGGGAGATGACACCAGGAAGCATCAGCAAGCAAGTGACAGATAGAATGAAACACAGCAAATATAAGGTGTGAGAAGGGGGACTTCTACTCTGTGGGCAAACGGGGCTCAAATCCAATAAGGACCTTTAGAAGACAATATACAGCATGCTGCAGAAATGTCCTCCTCAAGGGGATCAGGGTGCTGGGGTATTTATCCAGTTTGAATGATTGGGAGCTATCCCTAGGGGCACTATTTCCCTAGAAATTCCCTGCCCTGTTCTATGCAGAGTATGTTCTTTTTTTTTTTTTTTTTTTTTTTGGTGGGACCCTCGCCGTTGGCCGGGGAATGAACCGGCGCTGCAGAGGCTGAGGGGAGGCCCAAGAGTATGTTCTTAAGGTCAGAGGCAGCCCTCAGCTAGAGAGTGCCAGGAGCTTCTAGTAAGAAACTGCTATCATGTGTGAGAACCAGGGGTGCTGAGCATCAGGGTAAGGCAGCAATGACCTGTCTGACTTTGATGAGTAACTCTACCTATTGAGTTACTCATCACCCCAGTTCCTCAGTTCCTTTATCTAAGGGTAATAATAGTCTCCATTACATAGTCATACTGAAGATGAAAGAGCAAGTTCTCAAGTGTGTAGAATAGCACCAGTCATAGCAAACAATTAGTGATACTATTATTGTTGTTGATGTTGGTGAATACTCACCGTTACAATCTACATGCAGACCATAAAAACTATTGTGGGGCTTCACCACCCTTAACAGTTTTCAAGTTGAACTAGGTTGAATGCTTCAAGCTAAGCACCAAACCCATAAAGTTGTCTTGCTTTGCAATAAGATGATTGGTTTCCCAAAAAAGAAGAGCAGAGAATTAGAGCAAATCCTTTTCCTCAAGATATGTGAATCCCACTGTGGGACACATAACCTTTCCAGTCTTGCCACTGCTGCTTTCCTTCCGTCTTTCCATAAGACCACCCTATAGTCTGTGTCACAGCAGCATTGGCGAGGAGACTGGAACCCCAGCCTCTTAGTCCCACCTCTGCCATCAACTCATCATCAGACATGGAGTGGATTTCTTAGCTTCCCTCCACCTCAATTCCCCACTCACAAAGTATGGCTAAAATGCCTTTATTTATTTACCTTACTCATTAAACAAGATGGTGTGTATCTGTGAAAATTTTTAATGCTATTGAAAATAAGTTTGCATTAAAAATGATTATGTGGATTCTGGAGAAGATTCACAGCAGTGGTGCCTTGGAAGGGGAAGGATAAGAAGGGAGAACGGGTCATTGGCCTCAAAACTCCGGCTCAAGGAGAAAATATATTTGGTATCTGCCGTATCTTTGCATTTTTCAATGACACTTTTGTCCACGTGGCTGATCTTTCTGGCAAGGAAACCATTTGCAAGGTGAAGGCTGATTGAAACAAATCCTCTCCTGCTGCCATGCTTGCTGCCCAAGATGTGGCCCGCAGGTGCCAGGAACTGGGCTTCACTGCCGTCCACAGCAGATTCTGGCCACAAGAAGACATCGGACCAAGGCTCCTGGATCCCTTGCCTGCTCAGGAATGAAAATAAGGAAGATTGAGGATGTTACCCCCACCTCCTCCGGTAGCAACCGCAGGAAGTCTCTGTGTGTGAACAGACTACTCAAATTATTTTTTTTAAAGATTTATTTATTTATGCATACAAGCACTGGGGTATCGGCCAGAGTTGTGGAGGATGAGAGGATTCACCAGAGACAGAGTGGGGAACAGAGCAGGCAGATCTGCTGAAATACACTGCAGAGGGGAGCAGTGGGCGAGTCAGGAGAGGTCTGCTGTGCCATGTGGGTAGCTCCCTGGTGGGGGATCGAACTCGTGCTGCAGTGGCTACGGATAGCTTCATAGGCTGTGTCTTCACCCCTTGCACCACCAGGGAGGACCCTCAAATTATTTTCTGTAAAAATAAATTATCTTCATGTCAAAAGTAAACTAAAATACCTATCAATCCTGCAAGAGGTGGAACCTGGCCTTAGAACTTGGTTTTGGAGAAACACACCTGTCAGAATCAGCTCTGGCACAAGCCCCTCACTTTCCTCTGGTCACTGACATGACCCCTGGCCTGCCAAACCTCGTCTTCATTGTCTCCCCCAACAACCTCAGCTCTGTCCACTCCCATCCAGTTACTTTCTATTCTCTTACTTCCTTTGTTTTATTTTTCTTTATAGCCCTATCATATATCAGCAAGTATTCATTACCAGATGATTGCCTCCTGCCACTAGAATTAAGTGACTCAAGGCAGAGATTTCATCTGTTGTGCCCATAACTGCATCTCAGCACCTCGAACAACAGTGGACATGTAGGAAGGTCTTGAAACAGTCGTTGAATTAGTACTTGTCTGATTAAGCTACAAAGAATGTACGTTTGAGAAGAATATGTACCCTATTTAAGAAATTAAACTTTTCAAGTGTTCTTGACACCATTTCAGAATTACTCATTTGCTTCAAATAAATGCTGCTAACTGCAAATCACTCCTCTCCCTTCTTAAAACCAAGTCTCCCAAGCCACCACCCAAATGCTTTGAAACCCTGGTCCCCATTATTCTTTATCTTAGGAATCCTAGTCCTATGGTTGTGGTGACATGATAGGAAATCACACATTGACAGAGGTAGTAGCTACAGTACCTGATAAACTGACTCATGTATCTCCATCAGATGAGGAATGGGTCAGCTTCCCAGGGCCTGTTCTTAGAAGGAGGTCCATGCTCAATTCATTCTTCTCCAACCACCATCTTGAAATTCTTAAAACATTTTGAAAGGATCCTGCATGTTCATGTTGTACTGGGCACCCCAAGTTATGTATCCAGGAGGGAGGGTACACTTTTTTTTTCAAACCATTGATATTTTTCTGCATTTGACAATTTTTTTTAACCAACTTGGGTTCATCAACATCTATCTAAAGGAAAATGAGACTCTTCAAAGATGGTAGCTTGTGTTGAGTCTGTATTAATCAGTTGACAAATACTTGTCAAAGAGCTGCCAATACCTCTTTGAACCTAAAATTTCCTGCTTTGCAATTTCAGGATGAGTTGATCAGGATTGGACAGGATTGGAACTGACCTTGCAGCGAACCTTTCAGTCATATCTGTGGTATCTGAGTCTTGGGGGGAAATTAGTTTCTTATTTCATCACAGAATTGTAACTTGTGTTTGGACAATGAATCATACAAACTCAATTAGCTGCACTGGCAGCTGAAATTCTTCAATTAAAGGATTTTCAAGACCAGGAACACCATACCAAATTTGGTATGACTTGGGAGAAGATGCTTAACTTTTCCAGGAGCCCAAGTTTACAGAATTAAAAAATACAAATATTATCTCCTCAAGGTAACAGTTTATACCCCATAAGTGTGCTGTGACCTTGAAGGTGGGTAGAGTAAAAACAGAATGTAGATCTGTCCATTTAAGGAAAAATTGACTCTTCAAGGCAGCAGAGAAGGCAGGACCACTTCCAGGGCATCCTGACAGTGGCCTGAGAACCGTGCCAGCCTTGGCACGGTTACTCCACAAGTAGTTATTCCACAAGTAGTGTGACATCCCAAATGAAAGATGCCTCCCACACGACAGGCAGCATCTGTAAATTTCTCAGGTGGGAAAGAAGAACTAAGAAGTGGGTCTTATTGTTTCATGCCATCTCTAAGATACAATGATCTAAGAGAATTCGGGCATTCATGGGGGGCAAGAAATGGAATGCTAAAGAGAATTTACTCTCTATTTACATAAACCATTCTAAGAACAAAGAGGGTCTATTCATCTATACTATATATATATAAATTCTCCAGGTTGTTTGGGGTTACTCAGGATCAAGACTTGGTACAGAGTTGGTCTCCACATGGGTTGAGACTGAAAGAACAAACGAAAAACGTCCTATGAACAGGGTTGAACACAGGATGTAAAATTTTTCCCCTTCAGATTTCTTTGATATCTGATACAACTGGATAATGATGTCCCAGGAGAGGAAATAGATGCAAAGCGTGATAAGTTCTGGGCTTCAATCCTTCTAGAATGATATCTCTACATGGCAACCAGGGTATATGCTGAACAACACACATGCTCTTGGTTATCTTAACTTTCAGGAGCAGACATTGAGAGGGAAAAGAACCCAAACCTAGCTACAAATCATCAAACATCAGCCTTGGGAGCCCCAGAGACAGCTGCAAGCAGGGAGCTCTCAAGGACGCGTGGTGAGTCAAAGAGACAACAGTCTCTTCTACATGGCTATGTCTACATGGCCTGTGTTAGCAAATGTTGGCTGTGGGTTTCTGCAGTCTACATTGGGAGATGTGTGTCCCTGCCTCATACGTGTTAATGTGCCATTTGCTAATAGAGAGGACAGTACATTTTGTGTTGAGTGAATACTGTTGAGTGGGCAGGGTTAAAAGGATACACATATTGACAATTAAAATTAGTAATTTGTCGCTAAGATTATATCTTCTAAAGACTGGAGCATCTTGGGTCAGAGGCTGAGCATTCTATGTCTCCATGGAATGGGAAAAACAGTTGTCTGTGTCCTCCTGCTTACCCCACTGTTTATTTGTTTCACCCTCTTAACTTGTCCCTGAAAGAGTAGGTTGTGTCAGAGTCTATGTTTATTTTATCAGAATGACAAAAAAAAAGAAAGGTTTCTGCCTCCATGTCATTTCATTTTCATCTTCACTTTTATCGACTCCTGTTCCTATGATCTCCACCTCTCCAAAACCTGAATGTCCAATGTTCTCCTTTAGTTTCTCTTGCTTTTCCATCTCTGTCTCCTCTCATCTAATTGTCTTAGCATGCTCAGTGTAGGCATTGTTAAATAAGTTAACATATTTATGGTTTCCCACACACTGGGTATTATTTTATTGATGGTAATAGTTAAAATATATATTTTCCATTATCCTCCTGTTCTGGCATCCTGGGATACTTTCTTTGGTCTCTCATATTATTTTCAAACTATTAGGATCTCTGTCATCAAGACAATTCACTAAAGCGATTACCTTAAGCTATTGTTACAAAACAGTTGGCAACAGAAACAAGTACTGTAGAAGCATACAAGAGAAATTGTTGTGGGCTGAGTCCTATAAAAGACTTTGCATAGAAAAGTAACTTGAGTTGACTTTTAAATCTGTGTAGGGTCCAAGTAGGTTAAGAAGAAGAGAATTTAGAATTGAAGTAATGATGTAAAGAAAGAGCCAGAAATGTAGAAGTTGTGAGAGGAGGAGAGAAAGTAGATTGGGGGTCCTCCCGGTGGCTCAGCGGGTTGAGCGCTGCGCTGTGAAGCTGTCCGCAGCCTCTGCACATGGGTTTGATTCCCAGCTGGCCAGGGAGAAACCCACATGGCGCGGCAGACCTCTCCTGTCTCACCCGCCACTCCCCTCAGCAGTGCCCTTGGTCCGTCTGCCTGTTATACTCCCTGCTCTATTTCTGGTGAATTCTCTCATCCTCCCGTACCTCTGACTGTACGCCAGTTCTTGCATAAATAAAAAAAAATCTTAAAAAAAAAGAAAGTAGATTGGGATGAATGAATCTCACATGGCACTGCAGAGGGATATGGAGATGCAAACAGCATATTATGGCCAAACGGGGAATGGATGGTGCTGAATATAAGCCAAGAGTTTCAATTTTACCTTGACCTTGACCTTGACCAAGGTGGTTTTGGACACAAACAGTAGAAAATCATTCAAACTAGTGTATTCCAAAAGAAGTATGATAACTTCAAAACAAAAGGATGTGGAGGATCTCAAGGTCAGAATGGGCAGCTAGGTCTTCCCAAGGTCTGAAACCAGGAATTAAAAGTTGCCAGGAGTTAGTTTTCTAATCTTCAACCCTCATTTCCAACCCTTATGTCTACCTTCATCTCATTTGACTTGGTATGCTTTCTCATCTCAGCTACTCTCTGTAGAAGCTCATCCTTCCCTCTCTGCACATTAGCTTTAGAAAAAGAATTCAGCATAAATACAGTAGAAAACAATGCACACCCCAACCCACACATTTACACATCTCTTCAAGTGACCACCAGAGGCAATCAGCAACTTGGACTTCCAATTCCAAATCTTCATGAAAGAGAATCTGATTGTCTGTTCCTAATACAATACGAGCCTTCTGGAGCCCTCCTCTAGACTGAAGTAGTTCTCAGAGGAGGAATATGGATTGAACAGATCACTAAAAGATGTCTTCAATAGTTTTAGAGCTAAATGGAGGTGGGAGGTAGGGGAGGTAGGAGGTAGAAGGTGGGAAAAACTGATCTAAGGAAAATTCATTGGGGAGCAGAAGGGGTTAGGAGGAAAGTTTCTGGAGGTGGGAAGATCAAAGAGGAGCTATTTGAATCTAAAAATCAAAAGCTTGAAATAATATGGATATGGTAAATCTGACCACTCTTCCCTAGAAAATTGTGCTGGGTTCAGCAAATATAACTCGGCATTTAGTCTTTAGAAGAATATTTCTTATTCCATAGCTCAGAGCCAAGCCTATGCTTTAGATAATATATGTGTGCTACTTATATGTTACCAGTTGATCTTTCTTTATCCAGTGGTTGCCCAACTTCCTGCTTTGAAGTCAGAACTTGGGATAAACCTAAATTAGTAAGGGGAAATCTATGAAAAGAAGTAAATCCCATACCAGCTTACTATAACTACTATATAGAACTTCATTAATTCTCATTCCATGAAACTGGTCGAAATTTTGTTTTCATATGCTATTAGTTCCTTTGGTAAGTTGAGGTCATAGTCATCTGTTTAAATGGACCCATGATTCAGTTCCACTCTGTCCCTTGACCACAGATCATATCCTGTTAAGACTCCATCATCAGGTTCAGCTATCAGCAGACTGGGATAGCAGAGGTCAAAGCCCTAAACTGGAATTTGGGGAAAAAATAAAAAAGTGGCCAGTCTCCAACATGTTCAGCCTCTTCCTGGTCACTGGGTGACCGGCTGCTCCTTGGGCTTATGACAGTATCAGTTGGATGATGTTCTGTGATATTCTGGCCTTTGGTGGGAGATACTCAAGCTACGTCTCAGATTTGCTTCCACCTGTAATAAAATAATAATGCCACAATATCTCTTTTTGACAACTCTATTACAAAGAAAACCCAACACCACTGACTCAAGCAAGCAAACAAGCAAATTGTATGCCCTTATATATCGAGAAGCCTCAGATGGGAGAGTATTTGTTTGCAAGGGCTGCCAAAACAAAAGACCACAGATGGGATGACTTAAACAACTTAAGTTTATTTTCTCCTTGTTCTAGAGGTTGCAAATCTGACATAAAAGTGTTGGAGGTTTGCTTTCTCCAGAGGCTTCTCTGTTTGACTTGCAAATGGTCGCCTCCTGTTTGCACAGGCATCCCTCTGCCCCAATCTCCCCTTTTTTATGGAGAGACTAGTTAGATTGGACTAGGGTAGACCCATTTGATTTCATTTGACTTTAATTACCACTATAAAGGTCCTATTTCCAAATGCAGTTATACTTTAGGGTAGGTAAGACTTCAATGTCTTAATTTTGGGGAGACAATTCATCCATAATAAATACGTTAGATAATTCAGTGTTTCAGTGAGCCTCGAGTCTCAGGTATTGCCATTTCCCTGCTTAGTCATCTTCAACACCTGTGTCTTCTCCTCAGGCTGGCTCCCCTCCTATTGTACAATCGCCTCTGCAGTTGTAGGCATCACATCCAGATATGAAATGCCAATAACAAACTGTCTCTTCCTGGGTGTCTCTCTTTATGTTACTTTTCTTTCTTTCTTTTTTTTTTTTAAATTTTATTTTTATATTCCCCATACAATGATAACCCCCTTATTTTGACCCCAAGCCCTCCTTTCCCCGCCCCCCACCCCCCCATAGTGTGTCTCTGGTTCATAGTTGTTTGTTGATCTTGATTTTTACTTTCTTATAGTTATTCTTTTTCCTGGTCCCTTATTTAGGTTCTCTAGATTCCTGCTATGAGTGAGACCATCCGGTATTTTTCTTTTTCTTTCTGGCTTTTTTCGCTGAGCATGATCCCTTCCAGCTCCATCCATATTGCTGCAAATTGCATGTGTTTATCTTTTTTGAATGCTGAGTAATATTCCATGGTGTATATGTACCACATCTTCTTGATCCAGTCATCTATTTTTGGGCATTTGGGTTGTTTCCAAAGCTTAGCTATTGCAAACAGTGCTGCTATAAACATAGGGGTGCAGGTGCTCTTTGGAATTGATGTTTCTGTGTCCTTTGGGTAAATACCTAGGAGTGGAATTGCTGGATCATATGGAAGCTCTATGTTTAGTAGGTCAAGAAATCTCCACACAGCTCTCCATAGTGGTTGGACCAGTTTGCACTCCCACCAGCAGTGCAGGAGAGATCTTTTTTCTCCACATCCTCGCCAACATTCGTTGTTGCTAGTTTTTTTTTAATATGTGCCATTCTCACTGGTGTGGGATGGTATCTCATGGTAGTTTTGATTTGCATTTCCCTGTCTTTTTTTCTTTTTTAAGATTTTATTTATTTATGTTTGCATACAAGAACTAGGGTGTAGGCCAGAGGTGCAGGGGGTAAGAGGATTCACCAGAGACAGAGTGGGGGGCAGAACAGGCAGACTGACTGAAATACACTGCTGAGGGGAGCAGCGGGCAAGACAGGAGAGGTCTGCTGAGCCATGTGGGTTGTTCCCTGGCTGGGATCGAACTCAGGCTGCAGCAGTGAAAGCATGATAGCGCTGAGACTTAACCCTTATACAACCAGGGAGGCCCCCTATGTTACTTTTTCAAAAGAAACCAGCCTTGACATCTTTTTTCTCATGGGCCAGAATTTCTTCATATGTGCATCTTAAACTAATCACCAACAAGAGAAAGAGACTGCCATGATTACCTTGGGCTAATCACAATTCATCCTGTGGGACTCAGTGTTGCTTTAAAATGTGAGAGGAAAGTTACCTGCACAAAATCAGGGACCTATGAGGAAAAAGGAAGAGGGGAAATGAAAGCTTGCAATGTCTGCTGCACCGTTTTTCTCTTGCTTCCCCTGGACTGTGTTCTTGAATTTTACCAAGAGTTTAAACCCTGAGGATGTCTCATAGAGGCGTCACTGGTAAGTCAACCTTTGTACCTGCAATAAAGAACCTAGGAGAAAGTTCATTTCACCTGGGCCAGCTTACCTGGAGGGGGAAGTCTCTTCCCCGAGCCCATGACCCCATCCCAAGTTTAGCTGCATCTTGTCAACACAGCCAGCATCTTCTACTCAACTGGCGATCCACATCTGAGCTGCTATGCAGAAGGTGTAACGACCTTCTCCCAAGCTAGCCATTATGCCAATAGCTTATAAAGAAGGAAGAACTGGATAAGAGAATAGAGGTCACTCAATGCAAACTCACTGCCAATATTAAGAAAATAATTTGAAAACTAGGTCATCAAATGACAGGTTACTTAATTAGGATGTACTTTATATGTGCTGGTTAAAACTGAGCATGTATCAATATCATCCAGAAAGTATTCCTTAATTGCTGATAACCTCATTTTAGAAGAGTTTCTACTTTCTGGTTGATTGCATTCTTGTATTGCTTGCAAGAAAGGAGAATCAAATTCTCTGCTCTTTTTCTCTCAGATCATCCATGAAGAACTTAAGAATTTAATGTGTGGTTTATTTTTAATCTTCCACACAAGTCTCTTGTTCTCTTACAGTTCAATTTATTTGCTGAAACTGGACAGGGCTTTGCTCCTAGAAATGAAGATTATTTGGTTTTGGTTTTTAATCAGCTAACAACAGTGTGTGAAGAAATAATACAGAAATAAAGCTGTCTTTCTTTCATGGTTTCTATTTCCTATTATCAAATTCTTGCTAAATATGAGCTTGTAGTGTCTCTGCTGACTGATTCAACATCACTTTCCACACCCAGGCTTTGCTTTGGTAAATGAAAGCTACAGTGGATTTGATTCTTTTATATGTGCTGTATGTATTTTTCAACTATATCAACCAATTTCAACTTTAACCTTCTGCTTTGAGCATTTGCCTCTGCTAAGCATGGAGCAGAGGGATGAAAGGCGCCAGTCTCTGGGCTGAATTGAGGCAGGAAATGAGGAAGGGAGGTGGTCACAGAAGCCTGGTCACTGGGCTTGCTGGGAAGCCACATTGGCTGGTAGGGGTCATGAGGGGTCATGAGGGGAAGGAGCAGGGGGTCAAGTCATGGGTTTAAGGAATCAGGAAATAAGCCTTGAGAACAGCTAGGACAACTTTTAGGTGTTTTTCATCTAGAAAAATAAGGCAATAACCATAACTGCTCACTTTTACTCAGAGTTTCCTCAAATGAAAGCTACAGAGAAGTAAATTATGCTTCGTCATAAAAGACAAACATTGCCAGCTGAGACTAGAATAGGGTTCCTGGAAAGTTATTGTTCTGGGGTATTTAAATGCAAATCAGCTTTTGGGCTGTCCATAATGTCTTAGAACTGCCTTCTTTCTTAACATGGCATATTGGACTAGATGATTTCTAATTTCCCATCATGCTGATTCAACAGACCCTTCAAAGCCAGGAAAGGTATTTGATTCAAGACATTTTCTTTACTTTTTTTCTTTTTCTTATTATTATTTTAATTTTATATATTTTTGCATCATTTTTCATTTTTGCACAATGTATGCATTTTCATCTTGGTTATAGTCCCCATACAATTCCCATCCCCTCCTTGTTTTGATCCCACTCCCTCCTCCTCCCACCCCCCTGTAGTGTGTCTCTGGTTTATAGTTGCGTGTTGATTTTGATTTTCACTTTATTATAATTAGTCTTTTTCCTGGTCCCTTATTTAGGTTTTCTAGATTCCTGTTATGAGTGAGACCATCTGGTAATTTTCTTTTTCTTTCTGGCTTATTTCGCTGAGCATGATCCCTTCCAGCGCCATCCATGTTGCTGCAAATGACATGTGTTTATCTTTTTTGAATGCTAAGTAATATTCCATGGTGTATATGTACCACATCTTCTTGATCCAGTCATCTATTTTTGGGCATTTGGGCTGTTTCCAAAGCTTAGCTATTGTAAACAGTGCTGCTATAAACATAGGGGTGCAGGTGCCCTTTTGAATTAATGTTTCTGTGTCCTTTGGGTAGATACCTAGGAGTGGAATTGCTGGATCATATGGAAGCTCCATCTTTAGTAGGTTGAGGAATCTCCACACAGCTCTCCATAGTGGTTGGACCAGTTTGCACTCCCACTAGCAGTGCAGGAGAGTTCCTTTTTCTCCACATCCTCACCAGCATTCGTTGTTGCAGTGCCATTCTCACTGGTGTAAGATGGTATTTCATTGCTACATGCAAAAGAATGAAGCTTGACTACTACCTCACACCATGCACCAAAACCAACTCAAAATAGATTAAAGAACTAGACATAAGACCTGAAACCATAAAATATATAGAAGGAAATACAGGCGAAACACTACATGACATACACCTCAGTAACATCTTTAAAGACATATCACCCAAAGCAATGATAGTGAAGGCAAAGATAAACAGCTGGGACTACATCAAATTACAGAGCTTCTACACAGCAAAAGAGACAGTAACCAAAACAAAGAGAAACCCCACTGATTGGGAGAAAATTTTTGCACATAACACTAATGATAAAGGACTGATCACAAAAATCTACAAAGAGCTGAGACTCAACAAAAACAAAGCAAATAACCCAGTCAAAAAATGGGCAGAAGGGCCTCCCTGGTGGCGCAAGGGGTTAAGTACCACACTATGAAGCACTCCTCAGCCTCTGCAGCATGAGTTCGATTCCTGGCTGGCCAGGGAGCAACCCACATGGCACGGCAGACCTCTCCTGACTTGCCTGCTGCTCCCCTCAGCAGTAAACTTTGGTCAATCTGCCTGTTCTGTTCCCCACTCTGTCTCTGGTGAATCCTCTCACCACCCCCGCCCCTGCCACATCTCTGGCCTATACCCCAGCTCTTGTATGCATAAATTAATAAATCATTTTTTTAAAAAATGGGCAGAAGAGCTAAAAAGAAACATCTCTTAAAAGGAAATGCAAATGGCCAACAGGCATATGAAAAAATGTTTAACATCACTTGTAATCAGGGAAATGCAAATCAAAGACTCTTTTTTTAAATCCTCCACGATATAGACACACCCTTTGACATGTCTAGATGCTCTGCCTCCTAGAATCATAACACCAAAGATGTGTCTCTTCTTTCATTTATTCAGTTATTCATTCATTCACTCTACATACATTCAGTAAGTTTTTACTATGCGCCAGGTTCTGGGCTAGCCACAACAGGTACAAACACAACTACAGGGAGAGGTTTAACCTTAGGGAGTCCATTAGGGGAAGCAGACAAGTTAAACAAATAAACAAATTGCACTGCTTTGGATAAGTATAACCAAAGAAGGGTGCATTCAGTAAAGAGAGAGTTATGGACTCTATCTCTGGGGTCTGTGAGATGTTCCTGAAGACAATGAGAGTTAAATCGAATTTTAAAAGGCAAACCAAATATTCTAGGTAGACAAGGGAGTCGGGCAATCCAGAGAGAGGGACCCGAATGATCAAGGAATCAAGAAAGAAATAAGTGAGGTCAAGTGAAACCTATTTTTTTTTAAGATATATTTATTTATGCATACAAGAGCTGGGGTGTAAGCCAGAGGTGCGGGGTATGAGAGGATTCACCAGAGACAGAGTGGGGAACAGAACAGGCAGATTCACTGAAATATACTGTTGAGGTGAGCAGTGGGACAAGGCAGGAGAGGTCTGCTGCATCGTATGGGTTGTTCCCCCCCGACCAATCGGGGATCAAACTCATGCTGCAGTGGCTGGCAATAGCATTGTCTTTAACCCCTGTGCCTCCAGGGAGGCCTCAATGAAATCTTGATGGCCATATTTTTGCCATACTAAGAGATCTGGAGATCATCTTGCAGAGGATGCAGAGTCATGGCAGACCTGCAGTTTTAGAACTGACATCTACCTGAGCCCTCTGCACACTCTAGTCTGCCCTCCCCACCTAATCATTTCCCTTCCCTGAATGCATCTAGTCTGCCTAAGCCAGGCATTGGCAAGTGGAAGGGAGAAGGTGGCTCAGTGGGTAATGCTGTCCCTCAGACACATTCACTTTTTTCCACTGCTCCAGGCCCCAGGCCTGGACAAATTCCACCCCTGATAAACATGGCTACTCCACTGTCTAGACGCTGACAAGATTAGTCAGTGTCACAACTTCATGAATAACTTCCTTAAATGTCCTGTAAGTTTTCTTGAGTTTTATCCACTATCCTGCAATCTGTTATTCCTCTGAAAATTAAACGTTACTTCATCTCAAGAGATGTGCTGTGCTTCTTAGTGATAGGTCCTGTCATTTCACAGCTAGTGGGAACAAATTTGCCAAATTCTTGATCAAAGTTGTTGCATGACTGATGATGATAAACTAAATTGAAAGAGTAATAGAAAATATGCCCCAGAAAAGAATCATAGTCTAGCCGAGAACAACTTGGTCAGGATGACTTCATGGGTTATTTCATCTCTAATTTTTAGATTGCAGGATAATTTCAATGAAGATGATGCTGGGCAGTTACTGAGTCAGTCACACACTTGAGTTACTGCCTTGATGACTTCTACAACAGAGTGGAGAAGTGAGTCACATTTTATTACAGAGTAATTTGTATCTGAAGAGGTTCACTCAATCCCACTCTGAAAATGTCAAGCATGAGGACAAATGTCACAAGGATGCCAAAGAGAGGGGAAATGATAGAATATCACCTTTATCTCCAAGTATCGTTACATCCCCCAAATACTTTTTTTTTTAAATATTTCTGCATAGAAGAACTAGGGTGTAGGTCAGAGGTGCAGGGAGTAAGAGGATTCACCAGAGACAGAGTGGGGAGCAGAACAGGCGGATCTACTGAAATACACTGCTGAGAGGAGCAGTGAGCAGACAGGAGAGGTCTGCTGCACCATGTGGGTAGCCCTCCTGCCAGGGAGCAAACTCAGATTTCAGTGATGACAGTGCTGAGACTTAACCCACTAGGCCACCATGGAGGCCCTAGATTATTCTTAATCTATCTCTGAATGTTTGAGAAGGCAAAGTTAATCTGAAAATATGAAACATACTGTCAGCCTAATTTAAAGAAATATAGTAAGGCATTTTTTCTCTTTCTCAAACTGGCAAATTATGTCACTTTAATCTTGTGTTAGAGCTCTCAGTTGTGAGCAAATGCATAAAAATAGCTTTCCATTCTGTAGTTGGGTCTAAGTCAATTAATAAAAATAAGGAAATGACTCAGTGGAGAGCCTGAGATACTCTGCATTTTAGAATTCATCATATTCCCCTTCCCTCTCTCCTACCGCCCCGCCTCCCCCCTGCCACACACTCATTTCAGAATGGTCTTGAATAAGACCTCATAAAATGTATATGGCATTCCCCTCACAGGAAAATTCATGTTCCAGAGAGTCTCCTAAAGAGTGAAACATGTCCAGAAATAAAGATTTGCATGTAAAGTGAACTGTTACCCATGAAAAGCACAGCATGACTATTTACTGTTCCAAGATTATTTTCCAATGCCATTCAGGTTCTCCTATGAAATAGAGAGTCTCTCAGAGTGATAATCTGAGCTTAACAACTCTCTTTAAACATCTTTTAGGTTCTGATTGATGAACTCAAGGCCACCAACTTTCCTGTTGACAAGAAGGGTGAATTCCAGCTCTCAACATCTGTAAGTAGCAGTGGGAACGAGAAAGAGATGAAGTTAGTGCTAAGGATCCTCCATTATGTTTAAGAAAATAAAAGGAGTTTTCTGAAGAACAAGTCTTGAACCTACATGTCCCTGGAATGTTCTATGCAGAGCACAAAGCAGTTCTTTGCTTGGGCTTATAAAAGACTGGGGAGCCGAAGCAAGAGAGGCAGTAATCTAGGAGAAACTGAAACTATGGAGTGGTGGTTTCTTTTTTGAGCATGAGAAGAAAAGACTTTCTTCATCTTAATCATGCAACAAATCTCAATTAAATGTGACAGGCATGGAGAAAAATTAGACCATTGGGAGAAAAACAAAAATAAACAAGGTCTAGTGGGAAAAAAAAACAAGAGAGAAAAGCTAAGCAAAAATCACAAATATAAAAGGAAATGTGTTGGAGTTGTGACAAAGGAAACTAAAAAGAGATGTGTGAGTAAGCTCTTAAAAGCAAATTACTGTAGGCAAGGAGCTGGAAACAGAACAGGAATATGTGGAAGAGAAGGGAAAAAGAGATGGGGGAAGAAAATAATGCATACTATTATTAATGACAAATAGTTAATTCATATGTAATGCATTTTCAAAAGAATAAGCCATTGTACCACAGGAGTCTAAGAGTCCGCTGGAGAGGTCATATAAACCACTGCATTTTTGTGTAGGAAAGTAAACAAACCACAGACCCAAACCCCTAGTCACTGAAAATGACTGCCAGCCTGTTGGTGGGTAAAGGTTCTTCCTGATATTAGAATGTTTTCCTGAAGTATCATCCATAACCCACCAGGGAGATTGATCCTCAAAGGATGTTGTACATCACACATCCACTTACTGCAAAGATTGTGCAATCTATAATAATTTTTAATAATTCTCATTCTATTTTATATCCATTGCCCCTACGGTACAATAAAACATATTTGTTGATTACAAAATAAATAAATAAATATGAAGGTGCTAATGATTGACTGAGCCTCTAAATTTCCACTGTGCTCTGGTAGACTTACTTGTATTTCCCTTTCATTGATTTTTCGTTGATCCCTCCCAAGCCCAGATGCAGGTCTGCTTTGTGGAAAAGGATTGCTAATGGACTCCCTAAAGAGAAATCTGATACAAAGAGGGATTTGGGGATTTTGAGGTTCAGTATTTATAAACATGAAAGAGATTTGAGCTGAAATTTTTATTTATGAAAGAAGCTGAAGTTTAGGGAGCTCACTTTTGAATGGACATGTATAGCTTTTACAACCTCTATCTCTCTAAATGACAAAAAAAGTCTTAAGGGTAACTGGAAGGAGAAGCCAGTTCAGAATCCAAGCCAAGCAATAATTACTAATGATTGAATAAGGAACAACAACAACAAAAAAAAACCCTGAAGTCTTGTTCTGTTTTGTTTTCTCAAATTACAGGACACGGGTTTATGGTGGTTTTTATAAATACTTGATTCAGCACCATGTGATCACAGTTACAAATAACTAGAAGGTGCAATTATAGGCAAATAGAATATTTGGGCAAACCCTTGGCAACAATCTCTTCAGTATAATTTTCACAGAGTAGTTGCCTCCATTACAAATCACAAACTACAGCCATTTACACCCCCATCCTACTGACTCTTTGCAATTCTGGAATTCCAGGAAAGTCTGGAAGGAGCCTCTTGTAGGTGTGAATCACACTTTTCCAGCCACTCACACAGCCATCTCCACAGCACTCTAACACTTCCCAAACTCAGAGAGACCTCCGATGGGCATGGAGATTGGTGTAGCAGCTCTGCCTGGCAGCAGGAAGTGTCTCTCAATATGTTCTCTTATTTTACTCAGAAAACTCAATTCTAGAAAGTTATTAAAAGCAGTAGTCATGGATGATTGAAAGAATTTACCTATAGGCCTGTTCATTTACCTGTAAATCTGTTCATCACAGCACTGTTCAAAATAGCAAAAAATGAGAATCAATCTAAATATCAGGCTATAACATTTAATTCAATAAACTATAAATTTGATTAAAATTGGGTGGGTAGATTTAACGTTATAAAGTAATGGGGCCATATTCTGAAAACATTTTAAAAAGCAGCTATATGACTTCATGCATAGTGATTCAATTTTTTTTTTAAATATGTGTGTTAAAATGTTAATAATGAGCATCTCTAGGGAGTGGGACTATGAGTGATTTTTTAAATTTTTTCTGTTCTTCAGCAATGAAGAAAATATTTGCAGCAAATATTACTTTTCATAATAAGTAAAAAACTTTAAATTTTAAAAATATGCTTTCTGAAATAAAAGGCTACAAAGAATCCAAAAGCTGGTAGCCTATTGGATACTGAACCTATTTCCCATTTGACAAAAGCCAGCACAGTGACTGGGTTAAGTTGTAGATATGTGGAGAAAGGACTGCATACAAGAGACAAGCAATGTTCTTGGGGACACTCCATACTTTCTTGGCATTTGTAAGACACTCCAGGCCTCTGTGTCATTGGCTTCAAGTGAGATGGAACCTTCTGGTGGATGGTGAGCAGCGCCCTCTGCTCTTGCTGAGGACTGGGGCTCTGTGGCCCTAATGCAGTCCTGAGCCCACAACTTGGATCGACAGCACTGTGTTGCCTTCTCCCCAAGCTTTTTCCAGGGACCTAAAATCTTGGTAGACTCTGGCCAAGTGCACAGGGTCACCGTCTCTGAGGCTAATATCCTGAGGCCAAGCAGGACTGCCTGCATGATTTGAGGAACTCAATGAAAAATGAAAATGAGGAGTCCCGTGTTCAAAACTTAAGAATTTCAAGATGGTGACAGCAGAATGTTTACCAAGAGCAGAACCTGCTCGGGGAAGGGGACCCTTATCTACTACCCAGTGACACACCCATAAGTCTGCCCTGGCACCAGCCTCCTTATTTCTTATCACGTTTGTTCAATTGTAAAGTGTGGGTGAGTTAGTTTGTTCTTGACCCTGAAAATGTGACCCCAGAGAGGTAGTTTAGACAGGGCCAATATTGTGGAGCATTATAATATAATTTATTTTCTAGCATTAAAGATCAGATTCTGTATCATGGAGTTGTAATAATGGCTACATTGTTTAGACACAGAGTGTGCCCGTGTCCAAAAAGGGCTTATGGGGGAAAGGCAAGGAAAACCTCACAACTATCGAATCAACTTCCTGTTCCTCTCTAGAATGGCCAGGCATAAGGTTTACACACCCTTGAAATAAAAGCAACTAATTTATAGCTCTTGAGCAGCTTATTATCTTAGCCAATTCATTAACCAGGTAAATTAGAAATCTGTTATCAGGTATTTAGTAGTGATTATAGTTCAAAGTAATGTGGTAATTAACACTTTCTCTTCCTCCAACATGAAACTTTCAGAAAACTCTACCCCCCAAAATCTCAGGAAGCTGCATGACAGAACCTGCAAGGCATTCCAGCTGCTGCCCCTAGGTGGTGGGGGATAAGGGGTGTCTCTGAGTCTGGAGTGCCTGCTACTGTTGAGGTGGGGGGTCTGGGACAGGTCATGAACTGCTGTGTGTTTTGGGTCTTCCCAGTTGTGAGCAAAGGGAACAGTGCTGACATCGTTGGTGGGAGACTAAAATAAAATAACATAAAGAACTTTGTAAACTTTAAAAAAAAGCCTATACACATATCATAATTGTTGGTGATATGACCATAATAGACACTGGGATGTGCTACTAAGGGAAATGATCCGGAACTAAATATATATCCTGTTTTCTTTCAGAAGGAAATAGTTTGCTTTCCTGTATCTAGGTTCATAGTGTACAAAATGTTTCTTAGAAAAGGGAAAATATTATCTTTATATCCTTCAGCCAAAGGCATACAACTGTCTTTTGTTCTGGAAATTGTATAAGCCTAATAACCCCTCCATTCTAAGTATCACTATAATAAACCATGGATTAGAGGAAAGATTGCCTGCCCAACATTGTAGCTCATTTATTTCAAGCAATATTTTAGATTTCAAATTGCATTGCAACAGCAGGCTTTGAACACGATGTTGGGTGTGACTGAACTTAGTGTTTATCTGATGTTCACTGATACCTTTCCCGAGCGTAGACCTAGATATAATTTGCTCAGAACCTATACATAAGTGACCCTAGGTCAATTAGGACCCTCAGAGGAAGTATTAAGGAGGAAGGTTTGTATTATTCTTAACATTTTGAAATGTGAGTGTGTGGTGGGGGGGGAGGGGTTTAAATCTGGGGTGGACAGTTAAATCTACCCAAGAAGAGACTACACAGAAGTAAACTGTGAAGATTCCCTGCTTGTGACTGGAATCTATGAACTTGATGTAAGAATGCTAATTGCCTAAAAACAGATGAAAAGCTGCCCATTGCATTCACCGTGTTTATGGAATGAGAGCTTAATTAGTAAAACCTCAGAAACCACTGTTGCAGATGAAAAGAATTCAGCTCTTCAGCAATTTATTAACTACTCATACATATGGAACTTGATTTAATCAGCCCCTTTGATGATCATGCTTTGAAAGGGTTACTCAACTTTATTATGAAAACCACATTGTGGTGCTTCCAGGTTGGTGAAGATGTGGAGATTTGGAGAGAATGTCTGGAAAGGTCATGGAGGGTCATACCTCCCTCTTGCCCCATATCTTATCCTATACATCTCTTCCAACTGGCTGTGTTTGTGTTATATCCTTTGTAAGAAATTGCTGACCTAGTGAGGAAAAAACAACAACAACAAAAAAAACGCAGGATGTGGTGATGATGAGCTGAGAGGTGTTCTCCAAACACCTGAGTGGCCAGCTAGGACTCAGCTTGGGATCTGAGCTGGTTTCTACCTCTGTAAAATGGGGCGGTGGGATTCAGCTCTTTTTTGACAACTCCACTGGTTGTGAAGATGAAGTGAGATCAGTGATTCAACCATGTTTTGTAATCTGTGAACCAGGTAGGCAGAGCAGATGAAGAAGGAAGAGTCACAGGTTTGATGATTGAACTAGCATCATGTGAATTAATTCAACTTAAATTCCTCTAGACATGAACTGTGTTTTTAGAACTTAGTATGTCTGGTAATAAATATCAGAGGGAACATATTTAGGAATTGTAGCTTATTATAATATCCTGTCTTAAGGATGAAAGAGACACCAGAGAAAGAGTGAGCTTCAGTTACTCTTAGAATCAGTTTTCTAAATGCTCCCGCCCCCCACCCCCACACATATACTCTGTGAAAGAGATCCAGATATTCGTGGCTGCTAGTGACTTGGCTGAACATTAACATATGGATGCTGCAAATGGACTTGCAAAAAGGCAACTCTCCATAGCAATGCAATTTTCCATTGCTTCACATTTATCGCTTGGAACTTGGAAGTTCTCACAGTGCATTAGGCCCTATTTAGAACACACTGCTCTCAAGAAAGCTGCTACAAATTTACTGAATAATGAGGTTGGGAGTGGGAGGACTTCCAGGAGTCATGGGTGGATTAAAAGATCCTTCAGGAGAGGGAGCAAGTTTTTGTAAGTTTGGAAAGACAAAGGCCAAATAATTAAAGGGACTCAGTCGCTCCACAAATATTTATTGCTAAGGACACAGTGCTGTTCCAATTAATCCTCATGATCTTACGTTTTATTATGGAAGCTAGAACAATAAAACCAGGAAAAATAAATGAAGCAGAGACTTACAGTTAGTGGTAAGTGCTACAAAGAAATGATGAAGAAATATGGTGGCCAGCAATTGGGGAAGGAGTTTTTTGCATCTGATGGGATGGCTGGGAAGGGTGAACACCCAGGAAGGCTGAGCCCTAAAGGATGAAAAAAGTGAACACTTAGGGAACGCCGCTCCACCGAGGCAACAGCAAGTGCCATGGTCCTTCAAGGAAAGGACTTAGCATGTTCAGGGAAGAGAGAGAAGATAAATCTGGCTGGACCCCAATGAATAAGGAAAAACTTGTGCAAGATGTGGAAAAGGGCCATGAAAAAGCAGATCTTAGGGGGTCTTGCAGACTGAAGTGAAAAGTTTGGGTTTGATTTGGAGCTTGGTGGGAAACTATTGAAATGTTTGAAGCAGGAAATTGATTTATAGTGTTCAAAGAATACTTTGCCTTTGATGGTTGGGCTGGAGAGGTGTGTGCAGGGAAGAAGGGGAGCAAAGAGGCTGGTGGGAAGTTTTGCCATAGCCCAAGCGAGATGGACATGGAGGGGTGGAATTCCTTGGAGCAGCTACATGACCACTGAAGTCTGCTGTGATGCTGTTAGCCTATTTCAATCTACTGTGCTTTCTCTACCAGCTGCCCGATCGGCGAGTCAAAGACTCTTTTCATGTTGGCAACAAGCATCTGGAAGAGAAGAGAAGGGCTGCTGATGACTAAGAGAGGCCCCTAATAGGAACTATGGACAAGGTACCACAACAATTTGACCACCTCTCCAGGCAGGAAAATTCTAGAAGCTGAAGGGTTCAGGGTGTGGAACATGTCGAGGTGGGAGGGGGGCAGGCTGAGATTTACTGTGTGATGATCTGAGGTCAAAATGTAAGACAAAGTGAACATGAAGAGGGTCTGCATGACATTCTGGAGCAGGGGAGGGAACAGTGGCAGCAGCTGAAGAGTAGGTGATATGAACCCACCCTGAAGTGACAACACCTCTATATGCCTTCCAGGATTTTTAAAATAATTAGCTTAAATGATTTTTAGTGGTTCACAGACTTCCCAGAGACACCATAGTAAGATTCCCTGATCAAATTCCCAAATTCTCATTCCTTTCTGTATTTCAAATATACTTTTCAAAAGTCTTGTTCCAACATAGACTGGTGAGTTGACTTGGCAGCCTGTATAATGGAAAGAATGCAAGTTTTGGAGTCAGAGAATAATTTGTTCAAAACCTGCCTCAGCTGTGCTCTCACTCCATGGTCTTGGTCAAGTGGTTTGCAGTGCTTAGCCGACATTTACACATCTATGCGATGGGGTGGTGAGGATTATGAATAATACTTGTAAAGTGTCTGATTCCCGCTTGTCACTTGCTAAATATTAGCTTTTTCATTATAAAGCCAAGAGTATAGATTTCTTTCTCATAGGAAATAGATTCATTATTCAAAAGAAAAGAGAAGAAACCTCTTTTGTACATTGGCAGATCGGGTCAAGTCTTGACATATAAGGGCAGTTGCATAAGAAGTTCCAGGTGAGAGGATGAGCAGGCACAGACCCTTCCTATTCCCCTGTCGTGGGCGTCGCTTACAAAGATCCAGAAGCAACATGCTCATTGCACCCACTCACTAAGGCTTACCTTCCTTTTGGAGGTTATGGATGGAAACTATTAGAGTCAAGGAAATGACTGAAATACTTTCCCCCAATCATGAAATGATGCCTGTATGAAAGCTCCAAGAACATTGGCAGCCTCAAAGCTCACCAGGTGGTGAGCCTGAATCTATTTGCTTTTCAAACATAAATGAGGATGGTTCTTTAAATTTAACTTCTCACTGCGCCCAGAAATGAAAAATTCCAGCTTGTCACTGATCTCTTACAAAATTTGGAAGAAGCTGCCTCCTTTTGTAGGCAGGATTCACATAAAACAGCCCGACTCTGCCCCTTTCCTTTGTTTGCTCCATGTTTGGTTACAATTAAGTGTTTCATTCTTGAGGTTTCTTATCCACTGAGCAACCCTGTTGAAGAAGAGTTACTGGAGGTTAATTTCTGCCTTTGCAAAGCAGGAAAGAGCTCCATCCACCCCCACCCCACCATCTACCTCTGTCTGAACATTAAATCACAGACTGGAAGCTGGACTGCACCCCACTCTTCAGCCCTTTGATATTCCTTCCAATTTCCCAGTGAGCAAAACACTCAAACCAGAGAAACTGCATCACAGTTTTTTGAACTGTTGATCTTTGCTTAATTTGTTGATCCCTATGACTAGTATTTTCATCAACTTTCCTAGTTAGGTTAGAGCTTGAAAGATAAAGCAGTGTCTTTTCTCGTAACTACGAGAAAACAAAATATCAGAAGTCACTTTTATGTTTGGAAGTTTTGGAAAGAAATAGAGGGAAATGAGATACACCCAGGAAGGAGAACAAGAATGAAGATCTGGAACAGGTTGAGTCTATTCCTCACGGAAGGAAAACAGGTCATCATTATGACTTGAGTTGTTTTTTTTATGACTCTTGGCTGTAAGATCGTAACACACTTGTCAGGATAGATCAGAGCAAGTGGGTCACACTGCTGAGCAGAGGAGTCTTGGTTCCCTCGAGGTCACCTCCCTTGAGCTTAACTGGACCACTAAAGTCTTTAGGAGTGCTGAATTTCCTTACCTGATCTGGCTGAAAAATTTCTCACCTCAGGCCCAAATTCTTATCAAGATTCTTCAGTGAGTAGGTCTTTCTTACTTCCTGACTAAAGGTCATGGGTTACCTGGAAGAAGTAAGCACAACACCATTATCACCCACCAGAATGTCAGTATCACATGGCTTCCCACATCAAAGGCAGGGGGAGAGTATATGCAAGAGGGAAAGTGGACTCTGACATTTCAACAAGACCAGCAGGGATGGAGCCTAGGGTGTGGGGTTGGGGGAGGTTATTTGCTGCGGGGGAGGACCTGGGACAGAGCCCTTCCTGGTCACAAATCCCTCATTAAACATTTACTGAGGACCTTCTGTGGGCCAGACACTTTACGAGGCACTATGGACCAGAGTCATCAAAGATACATTCCTCAGTAAACAAATAATGAGGACTCTGCATTAAGTGACATCATGAGAGCCAGTAGGTATGACAATGGAGATATGCCCATGTTTGAGGGGAACACAGGAAAGGGTCAAGCCCAGGTTTGGGGAAGAGGAAGATGGCTAGGAAGGGCTTCCTGGAGGAGGTGATACCTGATCCATGTTATTTTCTGTGACAGATGCCATATTGCAATGGTTCTATGACACACTTTCTTTTCCACATTGTAACATCTCTGAAAGTGGCATTTGCCTTATGAATCAAAGGAGACACAGTAGCTGTGGGTGCAAAGGTGCAAACTTGGTCAGTTCACATGATTTATTTGCAATATTTCAGGTAAATTTAACTGCAATTTAAAAATGTCTTTAAGAAATTATCTATGATTTGGTGTTACAGTGAAAAGCTATTATCTACACAGAAAAGCATGAGAACATTATCTGTAAGGAAAGCAGATATTTATCACTGCAGGAATGATCACAGTTTTATATTTTCCTTACAAGATAACAAGTGTTTACTAGACTCAGGAAAGATGATACCTATAAGTTAATGAAGCTGTGTTATATTTGGTTACTAGGATACCAAAGAAACAATTACCCATCACACACTAAGCGACACAGATAAAGGCAGGATAAGTCACTAAACTAGAGAAATAGATACAATTACATATCAGAGGAGCAAATGGTACTGAGCCAAGCATGTCACAGGACTGTCCGTAAAGCACCATGGCTTAAGGATGGTAGTTGAAAAGCAGGATTTTTTTTTCTTTATTGTGACAAATAATGGTGCCTTAATTTGATCTAATATAGTGTTTGTTTGCAACGAACAGGAACTCACTCATTCTAGCTTAACTCACTGCAGTGGAAAGCTAGAGCGAGCTCAAGCAAGCCCATACAAGCCAGATGCCTGTGCACGTCTCCCCAACTTTGTATTCAGTGATACCAGAAGAGCTTGAAATAGGTCATGGTAGGAATATCTACACCTTGGATATTGGCAAATGCTACAAATCAGGACCTTATTGTTTTATTAATGAGATGTCTTATCAGCATGCAACTGCTAGTGGGGAAGTTTGTAGATTATACAAGAGGGTGGCCCACAGGGCTAAGCACAGCACAGTGAAGGTATCCACAGCCTCTGCAGCACCAGTTTGATCCCTGGCTGGCCAGGGAGCTACCTACATGGCATAGCAGACCTCTCCTGTCTTGCCCACTGCTCCCCTCAGCAGTGTGTTTCAGTAGATCGGCCTGTTCTGTTTCCTGCTCTGTCTCTGGTGGATCCTCTCACCCTCGCACCTCTGGCCTGTACCCCAGTTCTTGTATGCATAAATAAATCTTTTTTTTAAAAAAAAAAAAAAGAAACCTTGCCAGGTAATGTAAAGTTATCAAGAATGAAGATACCTTTCTATGTTTTTTTTTTTTTTTTAAATTGTATCATTTTTATTGAGGTAACTTTGGTTTACAACACTGTGTAAGATTTAGGGGAACAGGTTCGCACCTCTTCGGAGGGATGTCGCCACAGCATCCCCAACACCAAAGCACCCAGCGTCCTCCACCTAAGCCCACTGGGCCCCCTCCTCTTACTTTGTTCTGTGTTTTCCTCAATCTTGCCAAGCCACATTGCTTTGGAGATCTCCACATCACTCCATTCTTCTCTCTCTACTGATTTATGGCCACCCCTGGTGCCATCAGACTTGGGTAAAGTCCCACAGTGTGTAGAACTGCCTGTTCTAGAGCTATGACTGGGGAAGTTTCTCAAGGAGGGAATTTAGGGGGTGGGGAAAAGTGGTGAGTACCTCAGTCTCATTCCCTTTTCTTTTTTAAGATTTATTTATTTATGCATACAAGAACTGGGGTACAGGCCAGAGGTGTTGGGGGGGGGGTGAGAGGATTCACCAGAGACAGAGTGGGGAACAGAACAAGCAGACTGTCTGAAATACACTGGTAAGGGAAGCAGTGGGCGAGTCAGGAGAGGTCTGCTGTGCCATGTGGGTAGTTCCCTGGTCGGGGATCAAACTCGTGCTGCAGTGGCTGCGGATAGCTTTATAGGTTGTGTCTTAACCCCTTGCACTACCAGGGAGGCCCTGAAGCTCATTCTTAAAGAAAGCTGGGTGAGGTAAAAAAAAATAGGGTGGGAGGTTGTTTCCAGCACAAGGCATTGTGTTTAGGGCTGGTAGAGCAAACAGTGGGGGAGCAGTGGTGACAGCTGAGGCTGAAGAGAGGGGCAAAGGCCAGGCGCGAGGGCCTGGGGTCTAGGCTTTTGTTCTGCCCATGAGAATGTTACAAAATCCAAAAGTATCAAGCCTGGAAGAAGTGAAATTGGATGGCGCCCACAGACACGCAAAGTCCAGGGAGGCACTGTCTGCAGTGGGAAGTGTGCTGGGGAGGCAGGGGGACCCATTTGCTGGTGAGGCAGGGGAACCCTTGAGTTGCAGCTATGTCCAAGGACTGACCCCTTTTCCACAGTGTCGGTGAGTCGTGTATCCTCCCAAAGCCTTGGCTTCCTCATCTTCAAAGAGCAGATAGATGATACCTAAGCTCTCACTACCTCCACCTATGTCAAAACCCTTTTAGGACTATAAAATATAAGGTATTTACTCATCTGTAAAATGAGGGGGTTGGCCTAGATGGGATCTAATATTCTGCCAGTGCTAAAGTTCTACAACTCTATTATTATCATTACTATCTGATGATCGTGCTAAA